TAATATAGGGTAAAAACCACGGGCAACGGTAGAAGAATTTCACTATTAGAAAATAGGAATTACAACTTCTCTCGATCTACCAAGAAGAAAACAATGATAAATCTCTCTTCATAAAAAGGAGAAAACAACTCTCAAGAAACTCTCTAAATTCTCTAGTATTGGGAGAAAGCTAGAATGATTTGGGATGGTTTTGAAGCTAAATAAGCTAGGGTATTTATAGTTAAAGTTTAAGGACTAATTTGTAAATACCCTAAATTGCAATGACTAAATTTTCAATTTACCCATTACAAAAATTCAACAAAATTGGTTGTCATTTGCACCACTTGCACCGAAATTAAGTGCTGCCAAAATCCCACCGAAAAGTGGTTGGCCACTTGTTTAATTTTCAACAGTTTCTTCTACATTTGTTTGGTTTTTGTTCATCACTGATGTTCAGATAACATGAGTTGTTGGAGTATATGGAGGACAAAATAAAAACAATTTAGTAAAATTATTGTCTCTATCTATCTCTTTCGATCTATCCTTAAAAAATATATATTTTAACAAAATATAACATAAAAATATCAATGAATTGAAATAGTATTACCAACCATCTCTACTTTTTAATAAAATGTTTTCATTAACTTGAAAAGAATATTATCTTCATTACATTAGAGTTGTGGGATTAACATTTAAAAGGGGATTTGATCGCACCCGTGACATAATATAAGTGTAATTGTAAATCTTATAACTCGTGTACGTATTTCATTTGATGTGTGTGTTTTTAGCAATCATTTTAACTAAATTATTAACTAATGTGTGTATCAATCCCTCCAAGTGTCATGTTTATTGCCTTATATTTTATATTATATTCAAAACTATCAAATGTAAACATTGGTTATGACAAATAATAACTCTGTGTAGGTGTACAAAGTGACAAATACAAATTGAACAAAAGGAAATGACATAATTTTGAATTGATGGAATGGACTTTAAAATCTAAACACAAAGCATGACATAAAAGTTTCTTGCACTTTAAAACTTGTAGCTGTACTAACAAAATTTATGTATTTCCTACAAAAACAAGCTTTATTATGTTGTTATTATTTCCTGATTCAGACAAATTTATTATTCAACCAAAACAAACAACCATAGTCAATGTTAGAGGGGGGGGGGATTGGATACAATCAAAATTACATTTCCTTAATATTAGAAAAAAATGAAATAAAGGTTAACAAAGTACACAACATATACAAACCAATAAATTAAAAGAAGTAAAATCATAGTCCATGTGTCGTTCACGATTGTGTTGATTGATTCTCTCCATATGATGTGATGACCTTCTGTTTGTTACCCGGTCTCTTGTATTTTGATTGTCCCTTATTTGTCATGCTCTTCATGTTGCCTTCTTTGGGTCATTGTTGTATTCATTCAAATATTATTGATCATCAATATATTTTTAAAATTTTAATTAAATATTTTTATTGTAATAATAACTACATCAATTGAATTAGTATTTAACAGTTTATGGTTAAAAGATTGTTTTCAATGAATACTCTTTTTTTATTTTAGAAGACTGGAAAAGATGTTATAGATATCTAATAAAAAGTTGTAGCATAGCTCCCCATTTGGTCAAATCATAGCATAAATTATTCTTCAAGAAAATAAAGTTTTTTTTTAAAAAATGTTGTCACGAAGAAACTTAATGCAAAGGTTTATCGAGATTAATATATACTGCAAATGAAAACTTTACATTAATCCACTTATATGTTGATAGTTTTCATTTATTATTACATGACGGAGCAAGCATTAGGGTTTTCGTCACTGAACATGATGGAGTAGCGGTCGTCCACGGTGGTCTCAGTGATTTTGGAAGGGTCAGCAACTTTCCTCACGTGATTGGGTGGTGCCTTCTTGTCATAAGCTTGAGCCACGTAAGGGTTCGCCACCATCGTGTACGGCACATAAGGCCACAACTCCACCTTTTTCTTGGTCGTCTGCGCCGCCGCCAGCACTTTCTTTGGGTCCACGTAACCCGTCACCGTCGCCTTTTGCTGCTTCAAGTCCACGTCTACAGACTTGGCCCCTGCAAAACCAAAAACAAAAAATTGTGTTTAACCAATAAAAGAAATGAAAATGTCACCATACTAGAATCAAAATGATTCAACTGAATTATGGAGTATTATAATTACCCTTCACTCCAGAGAGCACCTTCTTGACCTTACGGGCACAACCTTCACAATCCATCCTTATTTTGAGAGCTACGGTTTGAGTTTGCTTCTTCTTTTTCTTCTTCATGTTGCTGAGCAAATCAGAGATGTAATCCAAGGTGCCTTCAACTCCCATTTTGACTTAACTCGGATACAGCTTCAGAATGAAGAGTTTGTTGATCTAAACAAGAGAAGAGATAGACTTAATGGAGCTTGGTTGAAGAGAATGAGTACTCCACACTTTTGTTTGTTTGGTCTGAAATAGTAAAGACTGGAGAGGGAGGAAGAAGGTAACAGGTCGTCACTAGCTTAGCTTCTATGGGTTTTATAGTGACGAAAGTAAACGCGTTCTTAAAAAGGAAATTAAATTTAAAACAAATTTAGAATTAAAATAGTTTGTTTGAGATGACTTTAATTTAATTTCACTACTAAGATATCATGAAATGGTTTCTCCCAGAAACTTCTTTAACTACTCTTGCTCTTTTTTTATATGAACAGATACAAAGTAAAGCAGTTTTAACTACCCTTGGGGGAAAATTAATAAAAATATAGAAAACGAAATATTTCATAATTATTTTTGAAGTTAAAAATAAATAGTTTCAATTTTGTTAAAAATATTATTGGATTTACTATACGTCTTTAGCGAATTAAAATACAAACCCATGCATTGAATATGGAAAACTTGGTTTTCATGTTGTTGTTTCCCCCCCCCCCCCAATCAATGTGCTCAATAATGAAGGACTCGTAATAAGACATGTTGTGCTTTGAATGACATCAGAAGTTGCCACGCACTAGGAAGACCAGAGACACACGTGGATATGGAAGACTCAAAGTGGGGTTGCTCTGGATAAAACCTGTTGGTTGCCATCCATCTCTCACAAATTATTACTCTATGATTTTGGCGGTGAGTTTGTAGCAAAACGAACATTAAATTGTTGATATAATTATTTTTTTAATAATTAAAGATAATATTATTATTTGTTTAGAATCTTTTTAATTGTTAATAATTTATGTATATTTTTAAACGTAATTATTTAAATTAAAAATTTCAAAAAATAATAATATTTTTTATAATTATAGATAGTTTAAGTATAATCTATATATGTAACTATTTCAACCCAAAATTTTAAAAGATAATAATATTTTTTAATCATTAAACTCGTTTAATTTCGTTAATATAATTATTAAACATCGAAAAACTTTGAATTAATATAAGAATCGCAAACTTTAAAGGGTTTTGTATTTTTAAATTACCACCTTGTATTTTATGTATCCAAATCTAATTGTGAATGTAGGGTCCCTTCCTCAATGCACATGAATATATTCAAACACAAATCTTGTTTTATTATTACTTTAATCATATTTGTAGCAATGGCTTTTCTAACATCTGACGAGTCCATCCTATTCAGCAATCTAATTAATTAGACGATCATCTTTATATATTTTATTATCTTTTAAAATCCAGCCTTATTTGTGAAGAAGCAGCAAAATCCAAATTTGTGAGATAACTTTTACATAATTATAGATTAGTGCAGCATATTAGCATGGTCACCCAGCGCCCATGACGCCTAAACAAATTTTCTTTTCACCTTTTTCATAAATAGGGTAAATTACACAAACTGTACCTTGACTATAGGATATTATTTTGTTGAGTCTCTGGACTATGTAAAGTTACAAAATGGTCCTCTAACTATAAGAAATTACTTTATTGAGTCCTTCGACTATAAAAAGTTACAAAAATGGTCACCGACTATTCATAATGTTTCAAACTCATCCTTTTTTGTTAGAATATTAACGACGGTCTGAGTTGGGTGTTAACATACTTACTGAGATATGATTAAAATACGATCTCATAATCTCAAACGATTATAATATCTCCAGTTCAGATGATTGTTATTTTTTTTAATGGAAAATGATGAGTTTGGAACATAATGAATAGACGGGTGATCATTTTGTAACTTTTAATAGCCGAGGGACTCAACAAAGCAGCTCTCTATAGTCAGGGGACTATTTTTTAATTTTTAATAATTAGGGGACTCAATAAAATAGTATCTTATACTCGGAGGATCATTTGTGCACTTTACCCTAAAAAGTTTGACTGGAAATTTGAATCTGATATTCATTTTATTTTTAAAATTTGAGTTTGATTTTAAATGAAAGCATATTATAGTATTACTCGATCAAGTATTTAAGCTGACATTCAAGATTCAATGTTTCCTTTCGTTTGATTATTTCTCTTTCACTCTTAACCAAAACAAGTGATGGATGAATTCATGGAATTTAATTTTATTAACCATTTAATCATTTAAAAAATTGAATAAAGAATGAAAACCTAACATCTGGCCTCCTTATTTTCGTGGCACAGCTATTGAATATTGATCCCACCACCAATATTTGGTGAAAGGGAATCAATTACTATTTGACAACATTTCAGATTCATCAATATCTTTCCCTTCATAATTTTCAACCTAGCTCAAGGCACTTTGGATTATTTATCAGCTATTGCCTGTTGGGGGTATGTTTTATGTTAACGTCAATAGAGTCCACCTCTACTTTCGACAAAGATCAGATTTGACGTTACAAATTATAAAATTCAATTTTAAATCACATCAAATGCTCCTGTGGTAATCTTGATTGAATATTTTACAAGATCTTGAAAATAACTCTCCGCTCATGCTTTAGGTGTTGTTAATCTGATTGACAAAAACTTGAATTTATTTTTCACTTATTATAACTAAAATATGCCCAACTTAGATTTACCAGGAGGAAAAAAAAAAGCTTTTACAATGAATCCCAATCCGTAAAATTAAAAGAAAAAAATTGGTACGATGTTCCTTATTTGGTAAAGCTGACAAGAATTGATAGGATTTACATGAGAAATGATTATGGAGTTACGGTTAAAGTAAAAACCTTAGCAGCAGCAGTAGGAATGGACTGAATATGCAGAGCAGGGTGGGAATTTGCAGTGGCGAAGCCCAAGAAGCCTTTGTGGAAGCCCTTCCTGCGACTGCTGGAACAACTGCTTCTGTATTATTGTTGTGCTGTTGCTCATTTGTCGGCAATGGAATCTGAGATCCACTACTGGGAGGTGGTGCGAGATGTATGCCTGATTTGTCACTCACGTCTTGACCTGCCGGTGCAATTTCGAATTCACTTCGGTAAGAAAGAACATTTGCTTTTGCATAATGAAAGATTTAAAGAGGCAAAATTGAAGCATAGGGAAACTCTAGCGCTGCTTCTCAACAGAAAATATGATCAATACCGGACGTTTCAGGAAACAAAAGTAACGTAAGCAAGCAAGCTATAAATACTAAGTATAGGATTCACAAAGCTAGGCTTAACAGAGCTTCTGTATAATTAGGCTTAACAGGATTCGCAAAGATTGATCAAGAACTCATTCATCAACCATTAGATGAAGAAAATAATGAATTGCATGATGAGAGGCAGCTACTGTATTAACAAGGGCTTTAGCATCCTATCAATTTCCACTCTTAAGCCTTGTAACTAATCAGTTATAAAATATAGACAAATAAACCCAAAAGAAATAAACAAGACGCATGATATAGCAAATAGAAAAGGTGGAAACATATACTCTGTCACTTACAGTTGGAACGTGACCAACCCAACTTCATATTTTCACGATCAAAAACAATGTGATGGCCTGTCATGAAGTTTTCTGCAACACATTTGTTCATCCAGTGTCATTAAAATATGCACACAACGTGGCTAGAAGATTGCAAAGCAATAAAATAATGCAAGGACATCCAAAAGCCAGAGAATAGACTCACGTCCGATAACATCAAATTCATCTTCTCCACGTAAAACAGTTAAACAGAATACTGTAAATACCTGCTCAACAATGTCAAGACAATTTACGTTTCCTTCAAAAAGATAAAATTTTAGGAGCAGCCTAGAGTATGCTCGGAAACCGAAAATCTAAAAGATACTAACAAATGAAAAGATACTAACAATTTTCTTTATTTTTAATGGCGGCTGACCAAAACGTAATATTATGTATGATTTTGAGAAGAAAAAAAATAGTTGGGTGACTAAAACGGAACTAAGTAATAGTTGAGTGATTAAATATATAGTTTACCCTAATCTTTAATAATAGATTTTTTATTCTAATGGGTATAGAATCCACATCCTGGAAGAGAGGGAGGTGTAAAAGAACAAAAATCTTATGAATTTATTTAATAAAACACACTATATAAGTTTTAGCTTAAATATTTACATATATATTTTTGAGGTAAGACTGACACTCAAGTTTTACTCGTTAATTTTTCCTCTAATATGTTGTCAAAAATATCGAACCAAAGTTAGACGTCCGAAATGGAAAAGTGGGGAGCAGTGGGTTCATGGCACTTTTGCTCTTATCCTTATCTTACAGAAAGTGATGAATTCTTTGTAATTAAAAAAATGGAAATCCCAAAAAAAAAAAAAGAAGAAGAAGAAATGGGTTGAGAAAGTAGAAGCTTGTAATGTCGTAGAACCTAATTCCAATTATGCAAAGTAATTAAAGATGCTAAATCCTCTAACACTTATCACAAAAGCATATGTTTTCTTCCACACAATTGTTCCCTACTCTCCAATCATGTATCAATTGTTGAACCCCCCAACGTGATTTTGATGTCTTTCTTTTAACCTTAATTTTTGTTATCCTTTGTACTTCATTAATCAAAGGGAAAAAATTTTAAAACATATATAGCAGATATGTCGCATGTTTCACCTTGCTATTGTGTCATAGCAGCACTAACAAACTTATTATATGATATTTCTCTTTTTAACACCTGTAATAATTTGCAAACGGAAGATGGGATGGAGAAAAAACCTAAATGGTAGATGAAGGATTTGACATTTTAGTTTCTTCCATCATCAACATCTTCAAATTTGACTGCCAAGTTTCATCATCTGTCCCTTGTTCATGGGGTGGGCAGGATTGCTATCTTGCCAGGAATCTTCAATTTTGACTGTTTCCAGTTTACCTGTCATTGGCATAAAAAAGCTGAATTGGTCTCAGATTTGGACACTTATTTAAATTTGAATATGAAACGTGACACCTAAATCCGATTAACATAGGTGGTGAGGTGGAATTGTGGCTGCCGTTCCAAACCCAAAGCATCTGTCAACACCAAGCATCTGCACAAGTTTTGTCACCACACATTAAAATAAAGTAAAAGGTATAGAATTAAACATGAAATGGTGACAGATTCTCCATTTTTCATAATTATATCTCTGTGATAATGATTCTTCGTTCCTGTATTATTCGTTTTTGAAGTATGATTCTGTTTTCCAGGCAGAAATCATATGTGCACAGTTGTCTTCACTGATTTCATCTTTACCATCAATAGCTGCAAACTTTACATGAAATTCTTATGTTGCAGGCTTTAATATCTGGCAGTGAATCAACATGAATCTTGGTGCCAACCTGCGGGTTTCTTTAGTCCACCACTGGTGGTGGTCCTGGTAAACCCAGTCAGATAAGGCAGGCTTGCTCATAAATTATTCATAATTTTTCTAACGTTGCTGTCACCAACAGACAGTTGATCAAATATCATAATAAATACTACCAATAATAACATCTCCATTATTTTGATTGAACAGTGAAATTTCTTGTTTTATACATTTTTATACATTCCAAAAGTTGAACTTCACATAAAATCCAATATCTAAGTCAAAAAAGGAAAAGGAAAAGAAGAAGAATCTGAGTAAAACATGTCATTCCATTCACACAGATGATTTTTGTATTCACCACATGAATTAATAAATTGCATTTATTTTCATTTGATGGAGTATAACTTAGTGGGGTTATCTTAAGGGTGATAAAATGAAAGTTTAACATCCTACATAATATCATTAGATTTTTTGTTAGATTTGGGTAAAAAAATAAAACTCACTTTAAAAAGTTCATGTGTGTGGTCTCACCATTCTTTCTTTCAACATCAAGTTGCAAAGCTTCTGATCTTCATCCTCTCATCTGTTCATTCTACATTTCTGAATTTTAACCAGTCCCAGTTCTTAGGTAGATATCAAACCACTAAAAACATACTGTTTTTCTGCAGAAAAAATCATCTGGTTTTTTGGTAGTTTCTTCTCAAATGTTTGTTTCCCTCTACAAGAAGCAAAGTTTTTAACTTCTTCTGCACAGGAAAAAAAAGAGGTTTTTAACAGTTAATCTGATTGAAGATAAAGAAAAACAATAACTGGGTTTAGTTGAGATTAGCGTGAGAGTTTGAGGCAAGCGATTTCACCTATGGCTGGAGAAGAATTGGTGGAGCTCAAATTCAGGCTTGCTGATGGAACTGACATTGGTCCAAGCAAGTACAGTCCAGCTACCACTGTGGCATCTCTCAAAGAGAAAATACTTGCTCAGTGGCCCCAAGGTTAATTGCTCAACTTTTCTTTTCATTTTTCACCTGTTTATCAATTGTATGCAATGGATTTTGTACTTTTATCATGTAAAGTGTCCTTTTGTTATTCATTATTTCGAAAATCAAAATGATCTGTCTCAAACAAAGTCTTGTATTGTTCCTTATGCTTGCAAAATAGTCTAGTGAACTGAAAAGTGTGTTATATTCTTGGATCCATGCCATAGGAACTCAAAGGCAAATTGTTAAATCTCATCAGAAACATTTTACCTGTTAAAATGCTCCCTTACTATGATTTATATCTGAATTATTGTGTTGTTTATTGTTATAACATATAGCTTAGAAAACCCTAACCAGAAGGTATCTCTGCAACCCTTTTCCTTGTCCCGAGTGGCCTTCAAAATTGTGATTGGGGTACATAACCGTATTCTGTTTTCATATGGAAAACTCTTCTCTGTTTTGTAGACAAAGAAAATTGCCCAAACACAATACAAGATGTGAAGCTAATCAATGGTGGAAAAATACTTGAAAACAACAGTACAGTTGCTGACTGCAGACTTCTGCTTGGTGAATTTCCGAGCGGCGTAATCACGATGCATGTTGTTCTTCGCCTTCCTCTGTCAAACAAAAGCAACGGTAACCAATGACCCTTATGTATTTGGTTTGTTACACACCTGCTGTTGTATTTTCGGTTAGTGAAGCTTTGCACAAACAGAACTTCTAAAAAGACATAGGAGTTTATGTTTGAAGACGAAAATGAACACTTGCATTAACATTCTCCCAACAAAAAGAATCGCCTCCAGAACTATCATTTCTCTCATTTGATTTTGTGCATGAATTTCATAAGATCCATACTAGTTTTCGATGCTTCTTTTCTCTCATTTAAACTATGGACCTAGCAAGTCATATATCCACGCAGTACTTGTATCATTTAAGTGTTTAGGTGAATTTTAATATGCCAAAAATGTATACATCCGTGTTCTTAACTCGTGAAATCTTATCCGCAGAGAAACAAGATGATTCTCCAAAGAAAAGCAGCTGTTTATGCACAATCTTGTAGCTGCCTAATGGGATTGCTGTTGCCACTTCCTTCAAAGAAACTTCCTGTTATATTTTATGTTGAAATTGCCATGTGGAAATACAGCATTTGGAAACACAGCAAAGTAGCAAAGTATTGAATCAGAATGTGTTATTCTTTATTGAACTATACTACTCTATTTAAATAAGAGTTTACAACAACCTTATGTAACCGTGTAACTGCATACAACTAATATAACAACTTCCTACAACTAACCATACTCATCAACTACTAACTTCATCATTCAACATTCTCCCTACTTCTTCTTCTTCTTCCCAAAGGAAAGGCTGCACATTCACCTTGGCCTTAAGCACCTCAAACCGAGCAGCTGCTAGTGGCTTTGTGAAACCATCTGCAACTTGATGACTTCCTGGCACATAATTCACCAACACTTGCTTCAACGCTACCTTCTCACGAACAAAGTGAACATCGAGTTCAACATGTTTACTCTTCGCATGATAAATTGGATTTGCTGTCATGGCTACAACACTGCTATTATCACACCAAACTATAGGAGTTTTCTTCCTTGTAACGCCCAAATCATTTAGAAGAGTATTCACTCACATTGTTTCAGCAGTAACATCTGCTACACTTCTGTACTCAGCTTCCATAGTCGACCTGGAAACTGATTTTTGTTTCTTAGAGTTCCACATCACTAGGTTGTCACCAACAAACACACAATAACCTGAGACAGACTTGCAATCATCAGCACTTGCAGCCCAGTCAGCGTCAGCGAAGGCCACTACATTGAATCCTGCTACTGCAGGTGCAATGACCAGGCCATGGTTAATTATTCCCACCAAGTACCTCAAGATTCTTTTAACAGCAACAAGATGCTCTTGCCTTGGAGCCTGCATATATTGTGCTGCCTTATTGACGTTGAAGGTTATGTCCGGGCGGGTGTGACACACATACAATAAGGCACCTACAACGCTTCGATATTCATATGCATCTTGAAGCAATACCCCCGCATCATGACTCAACTTGGCAGATGCAAGCATTGGTGTGGAAGCAGGATTAGCAGTGCTCATCTTGGTCTTCATCAGCAATTCAAGGATAAACTTCCTTTGGCTGAGAATTAACGAGCTACCACAACGTTTAATTTCTATACCCAAAAAGTAATGTAATTCACCAAGGTCTTTTAGTGCAAATTCCCTGCCAAGAAATTTCACCACTTCTTCAATCTGAACAACTGAACTCCCAGTCAGCACTATATTGTCAACGTATACAAGTAAGTAAACGCAGTATCCCCCTTCCCAGCGAATAAACAGAGAGGTGTCTACTGAAGATTCTTTGAAACCGAACTTAAGTAGGGAATTTTTCAGTTTGTCTTGCCAATTCCGAAGGGCTTGGCGTAAACCATACAAGGCCTTCTCTAATCTACACACCAAGGGACTGCCGTCAGCTGCAACTTGCTCGAAGCCTGGTGGCTGCTGCATGAAAACCTCTTCATGCAGATCACCGTGCAGAAATGCGTTGTTCACATCAACCTGGCGTAATTGCCAGCCATTGGTAACAACTATTGAAAGCACCACATTCAACGTCGCAAATCGAACAACTGGACTGAACGTTTCTCCAAAATCGTGTCCTGGTATTTGAGAGAAACCTTTGGCTACTAACCTGGCTTTATACCTACTAACAGAGCCATCAGGGTTCTTTTTTACTTTGAACAACCACTTGCACCCCACAACCGAGCGACCTTCAGGTAATTTAACTAAAGACCACGTGCCATTCTTCGTTAACGCTTCAAATTCAGAATGCACAGCTGCTCTCCAGTGAGGTGATTGTAATGCTTCATGAACATTAAGGGGTTCCATGTCTGCATAACTGGCCACAAATATTTTAGGCTTAAATATCCCGCACTTACTCCTCGTGATTATCGAATGACGATTTATCACACTAGAAACATTGTCATCTCTTGAGGAGGTAGTATTATCAACTGGAGCAGTTACTGGCACAAGTTGACTCGTATCAGCTTCAGTCGTGCCATCTTCTTCATGTATATCTTCATGAGCAGTAGCTTCAAGTGAAGACTCACCCAGGTCAATCATATTTTGGCCAGTATGACCAGAGTTTTCACCAACATTATCACCATTTGTACTGGCCACTTCCTGTGAAACTGCTGCAGCTAATTCGGCTAGATTCATATCATTGATTGTTGTTCTTGAGCCTGGACCAGCAGTATTATCTCGAAATTGTTTCATGTCAGCAATAACTTTAAGTTATGCAGACCTTAGTTTATTGACTTGATTAACGTCACCCAATCCTCCAGTCCCTACAAATGGAAATGTAAACTCATCAAAGATAACATGTCTGGAAATATATATCCTGCCACTAGTTGCTAAACACATGTAGCCTTTGTGCCGAGGGCTATAACCAAGGAATATACAAGGCTGGGAACGGAACTCAAGCTTGTGTTGTTGAAACAATCTTAGGTGAGGAAAACATTTACAGCCAAAAACTCGCATGAAATCATAATTTGGCTTCTGTTCAAACAACTTCTCATAGGGCGACAATCCTTCTAAAACTCTAGTAGGAAGTCGGTTGATGAGGAATACCGCTGTAACAGCTGCATAGTACCAGTAACTCAAAGGCATGGTAGCTTGTGCTAACAAAACCAGGGCAAGTTCAATGATGTGTCGATGCTTCTTTTCGACCACACCATTCTGTTCAGATGTATGCAGGCAGGCAACACGATGAGCAATTCCTTCTCTTAACAGCACAACTGAGAGATTGTGATACTCTCCACCCCAATCGCTTTGAACAACCTTCACAGCCAGTCCAAATTTAGTTGTCACCATATGTTGAAATGCCTTAAATGTGTGAACAGCCTGTGACCTATCTTTCAAAAAATAGATCCAAGTGTGCCTTGAATAAGCATCAACAAAAGATAAGTAATAGCGAAAATCATTCGAGACTACATGAGCTGGTCCCCATATGTCAGTGTATACTAGTTGGAAGGGTTTAGTATAGACAGTTTTAGAGTAACAGAATGGCAGCTTATGGCTTTTACCAATGCAACAAGCTTCGCAGACTTTATTCATATTTTTGCTTACTTGTACATTCATAGCTTTGCAAACAATAACAATTGTTTCAAACGTTTTATGTCCTAACCTTCTATGCCAAAGATTGTAAGTATCACTAGCTGAAACAACATTTACACAAGCATTTTTACAAGAACTTGAGATAGTTGTATTAGGAAACATATAGAGCCCGTCTTGCATTCTTTCTTGAAGAATCACCTCTCCACTAATTGCATCACGAACACTGCAACCGTGTGCATAAAATTCAAACATCACGTTGTTATCCCTAGCAAACTTGGACACAGACAACAAGTTTTGTGTTATGCCAGGTACATGAAGCAAGTCATTAACCAGAAGTATTCTAGAAGCAGATTTCACTACTGTGTTGCCAACTAATCCAACAGGTAATGAAACACCATCACTGACGACTAACTTACCTGGACCAGTACATCCAGTTTTGCAGTTTATAACATCCGCATCCGGGGTAACATGATGGGTGGCGCCGGAGTCAACGACCCACTGATCTTGCTCATCTATAGAGTTATCAGTAATAGTTGAAGCATGTAACCGAGACCCCTTCGAAGAACACATGCATGCACACTTGTTATATGCAGCAGTGTGAGCTTGGGCAGATTCTTCATCATACCTCGATTGAGCATTACTGACTATTTGATATGACTCATCATAACGATGCCAGCATCTGTCAACTAGATGTCCAATTTTACCACAAAGTTGGCATTGAACCCGTGGTCTGCCTTTCCCTCGACCCGCACGACCGCCTGACCTGCCACCTGATCGAGCAGTGGTCATATGGTTTTTGTCATAGTTCGAGTAGAATCGTTTGGAATGATCACTTGGTCCAGCTCCACGGGCAACATGAGCCACAGCCATCACCGTTTCTTCTTGAGCATCGAAACCAACAATTTGAGTTTCTGCATCTATTAACATAGTGCAAACCTTATCCAAAGGCAGCATGTCACCACTTGAAGTGATAACAGCCATAAATGGCTGATATTCACGGGGTAGCCCTTTCAAAATGCTAGCAATGTGTCCCACAAGTGGAACCGGGCTCCCACACGAGGCTAAAGCATCACAAATCTCTTTGACTTTAGCAATGTAAACTCTCATACTGTCTTCTCCTTTCTTGAGAGACTGTAATTTGCAGTGTAGACTCATTACTGAGGTTGAAGGCCTCGTTGTAAAATATTGCAACACCGTGGCCCATATGGATGAAGCTGTCTTAGCTCCCACAAATTGAGATAAGAGGTGCGGACTAATAGTAGACAGCAACCAAGATGCTAATGCACTATCTTGAGCTATAAAGTCATCATATGCTTCATTTGGAACCAAGTTGCCATCTTCATCAATTGTCATTTCTGGCGGAGACTGCATTACACCAGTGAGGAGTCGCTCAAGCCTATGGCTGCGAACAGTGAGCAAGACTTGTTGTTTCAACAACAAGAAGTTTGTTTCCACAACAAGAAGTTTGTTTCATCGAGCACCACATTGATTTTCTTGTTAGTAAACATTGAATCACAGTCTCCAGAAGAAAAAGAACAAGAAGACGATTAAAGAATCTGGTAATCAACCAAGAACACCATACCAAACGACTAAGCAACTGCCTTCTAAGCTGAATCTACACACCTTGAGTTGCGCAGCAAGAAACTCATGGCTCCAGGAGCTTATGGCGATTGATACCATGTGAAAATAAAGCATTTGGAAACACAGAAAAGTAGCAAAGTATTGAATCAGAATGTGTTATTCTTTATTGAACTATACTACTCTATTTAAACAAGAGTTTACAACAATCTTATGTAACCGTGTAACTGCATACAACTAATATAACAACTTCCTACAACTAACCATACTCATCAACTACTAACTTCATCATTCAACATGCCAATTCTTCAACATTGCAATGTTTTAGGATTCCAATTCTGGTGGCAGCAGAAATAATTAAGAAGGGCAAGTTGGGCATGAGAAAAGAAAACACAAGGCAAACCCAGGTAAGGCAGAGAGAGAGAGAGGTATGGTGCAAAAGAATGAAACAGAGATTTAGGGAAAAAAAGGTTGAAATGTTGTACTTATTTACGTAACATATGGTTGCTTATGCATTTTTAAAAAATTGTAGCAATCTTCAAAAACATGACTCTGGTCAAAAACCTAACTCTGTTCGGTCCAATGATGTGGCCAATTCCCCACGACTTAACCATTTTCAGAAAAGCCAGAAACCAATATGTTATATCCATAATAAATAGATATTAGTGAGATTCACTAAATGTTCTCTTCATTACCAAACATACTATCTATCATTATCAACCAACGCTTTATTCTCAAACCTGTTACTTTAGAAATAAAACGGTACTATTCTTCTCCTTCAACAAAAGAAAGGTTCCTCCTTAAGGGGGCCTCCTGCTTCTCGAGAATTCTATTTTACTTTCCAAAAGTATCATCATACTCTCAGACTATTATAATTTGTTATTCTCCTTCTACATTAACACTAAACTGTCATTAACATTCATAGGTGGCGGATCCATATATTTAAGTGTTATTAAATACGGTTTAAAAAATATATATTGTATATAAAATATTATAGTTGGTAGAGCACAAGATTTATAATCTTGGGGTTGTAGGATCGAGTCTCACGGTGGGCAATTCATAATTCGGAGGTCTCCTACGAAAGCTGTTCTCAACCTGGTGTTGGGGGCACCCTACTATCATACCTCCCTCTTACCCCATTACATATGGGAATAAAGGTCAACTAATTTTTATATTTGTTTAACTAGTTATAGTTTTCTTATATTTTATAATTAGCCTAGGTTTGAAACCTCATTTCAATGTTTTTTTCTTTGCTCTTTTCTTATTAATAATATTATAAGATAAATAGAATTTGTCGTAATTAGTAAACAATTAAAGCATTTAGTCCAGTAGCTTGGGTGGTCCAGTGGCTTGGGTGCTCCATTTCTATCATAGGGACTTAGGTTGAAGCCTATATAAACATGTTTCATTTCAGATTTATTTTCAGTCTGACACTATGACATGTAGGGATAAATAAAACTTGATTCGAATAAAAAATTAATTTTTTATTTTTGAGTTATTCAAGTCACCTCAAATTATCGATTGACATGTATGGGTGAGCAAAACTCGATTCGACTCGAAAATTTGATTTTTTTTTTCAATTTCGAGTTATTCGAGTCACCTCAAATTATCGATTCGATTTTCGAGTTTAAGTCAAATTAAAATTTGAAAATTTCGAGTTACTCAAAAAACCAAAAATTTGATTGATTATTTTTACAATTTTGCGATTTAGTCACTGATTTCCATATTTCTTCAATCCCTCCTTCATTTTAAGTCCATTTTTATCAAATTTGAACAACATGCTCTTAAACCATTGTAGAATAACTATGTGCTTTCAATTCCTATTTTTGATAACATTTTTTAATTTAGTCCCTCAATTTTTCATGATTTCCTTATTTCTTCAATTCATCCTTCATTTTAAATCTATTTCTTTTTATCAAATTTGAACTACATGCTCCTATACCACTATATAATACCTATGTAACTTTATCTCCTATTTTTCACTAAAAATATACCCTCTTTCAATTTAGTCCATTAACTTTACATTTTAATCTATTTGATTTTTTTACTGCAATTGTTTGCAAATTCTTTTTCCCCATCAATTTATTGATTCTTTTATACTCTCATCAATACTTTACCCTCAAAAGATTTTCTTTAAAATATAATATTGTAAATGTATTTTATAATTTTAGATTGTAATAACATTATAATGTAAAAAGAATACACACACGCACACACAC